GGAAACAGAAGACAACACACTTAGAAGTTCCACTTTAAAAGTGTTATGTACTAAGCTTGGATCCTAGAACAATAGGCAAGTAGGATCCTAGAAGGCAACAACTGATAGGCCAGCAGGAAAAGACCAATCAGGCTCCAGGAAGGAAGCAGAATCAGCCAATCAGTTGGGACTCATTGTGTAAATAATGTATATAAAAGCCTGAGGTTTATGGGGGGGCAATTCAATCACTGTTTTACAAGCTGCAATAAAGAGCATGAAATCACTACAGGACTCTGAGTATAGTTAAAAAAACTTGAGATCAAAGCTTGTAGAGGGAACTGAGGGGCAGACAAGGCTCATCAACCTGGGAAGGTGGCCCATTGAGGAGAAGAAAAACTCTCTCCTAAGCTTCCGCTGCCTTGCAGGATATCTTCAGGAGAAGAATAGGCTAAGGAGAGTAAACCCCATCCAAATCCATAGTGGGTCCCTGTTATGTACTGAATTGAGTGAGCTGAATAGGATCCGAAAGGCAGCAGTCTGATTGGTCCTGGAACAATAGGATTCAGAATGCAGCAGCCTGATTGGTCCTAGAACAATAGGTTTCAGAATGCAGCAGTCTGATTGGTCCACAAGAGCCACCCAATCCAGCTCCAGGTGGAAGGGAATCCGCAACCTGATTCGCCTACAGGAGAATCCCAGAATTAGCCAATCACGTGGGGCCCGTTGTGTAAATAATGTATATAAAGCAGACGTTCTGGGGGAACTTCCATTCCTCCTCACCACTATATAAATGAATAAAGAGCATGAAATCCACTCTCGACTCCGAGTATATTTCAGTCCCCAAGACAGTTGGTTGAAGCCTTGTAACGCCTCCTTCCGGCAATTCCTGCCTCCAAGCTGGTGCCATACATCTTGCTCTGCTTTCCTTTGGACCACATCAGCGAGGCTGACAGGGGGGTCTTGTTGTCTGGCCAGCTCAGGACCTCCCTAGTTCCCTCTACAGCATGCGCAGAAGCTGCTTTCTTGGGCTGGGGAACTGCAGCAAGAAAGTGCTGTGATGCCCAAACCCTTCATTTTTTTGCTTCCCACAGGCATTTAGTGGGCCATTACGGAATACAGGACGCTGGACCTTTGGCAGGGCTCATCTCATGTTCTTACGATCTGCATACAGATGGAAGCCCATTTGAGGAAAAGACTGCAATTACGCAGATCAAATGCACCCACAGAGACATCCACACCCGCGCCGGTTCTTTCAGCAACCTTTCGACACCAGGTGGCGCTCGGTCCCTTAGTAGACTGCTCTGGCAGAAGTCGGGCGGAGATTCCAGTTTACTTCTTAGATAGTCATTCTTCCTGGAGGAATTTCTGGAGGACGTTTGCAGGAGCCAAAGGGGTGGGGCTGGGGAGAAGCAGGGGGTCTCTCAAGTCTTGCTTGGTGGATTAGAAGTAGTTTGCTAGCCTTTACTCTTCTCTTGGCTGCATTCTTTGATCCTCATTAATTGCCCAGTGCCATAGGTTTCTCAGATTAAATGCTAAATCTGCAAGCAGCTGTGTGTCTCTCTATAGGTATCATGTACCCTAGGGGACATGATACCTATAGAGGTATATAAAATATACCTATTTTAAAGGGACGTGGGTGGCGCTGTGGGTTAAACCACAGAGCCTAGAACTTGCTGATCAGAAGGTTGGTGGTTCGAATCCCCGCGATGGGGTGAGCTCCCGTTCCTTTACCCTTTTTACCCTAGGGGTTCGCAGCTGCAGGCCTGGAAACCAAATGCACTCTCTCTCTCTTGTTGTTTTGTTTGTTGTTGTTTAGTCGTTTAGTCGTGTCCGACTCTTCGTGACCCCCTGGACCAGAGCACACCAGGCACTCCTGTCTTCCACTGCCTCCCGCAGTTTGGTCAAACTCATGCACTAGGGGCTGCAACTCTGCTCACGCCATTTGACAACCCGCTACAATTCCCCCACATTAATCCCCTAGAACAGGGGTCCCCAAAATAAGGTCCGCAGGCCAGATAAGGCCCTCACTGAGAGCCAGTGTGGTGTAGTGATTAAGAGCAGTAGTCTCGTAATCTGGGGAACCAAGTTCGCGTCTCCGCTCCTCCACATGCGGCTGCTAGGTGACCTTGGGCCAGTCACACTTCTTTGAAGTCTCTCAGCCCCACTCACCCCACAGAGTGTTTGTTGTGGGGGAGGAAGGGAAAGGAGAATGTTAGCCGCTTTGAGACTCCTTAGGGTAGTGATAATGCGGGATATCAATTCCAAATACCTCTTCTTCTTCTTCTCAGGGCTCGTTTACCCAGCCCGCGGTGACCCCCACCGCCCGCTCTTACCAGTGCTGCGCTGCACAGCTGCCCACTTCCAGGTCAGAGGAGCACCAGAAATAGCTTGTGCGCATGCACAAGTGTTATTTGCGCATGTGCAAGCGTTATTTCCAGTGCACATCTGGGTCGGGAGAGGCCCGTGCACATGCACATAAGCTGGTGACTGGGAGCGGCTGCCGAGACCATATAACATCGGCCTTGAAAGACCTACACTGGCTCCCAGTACGTTTCCGAGCACAATTCAAAGTGTTGGTGCTGACCTTCGAAGCCCTAAATGGCCTCAGCCCAGTAGACCTGAAGGAGCATCTCCATCCCCATCGTTCAGCCCAGACACTGAGGTCCAGCGCCAAGGGCCTTCTGGCAGTTCCCTCCCTGCAAGAAGCCAAGTTACAGGGAACCAGGCAGAGGGCCTTTTCGGTAGTGGCACCCACCCTGTGGAACGCCCTCCCACCAGATGTCAAAGAGAAAAATAACTACCAAACTTTTAGAAGACATCTGAAGGCAGCCCTGTTTAGGGAAGCTTTTAATGTTTAATAGGTTATTGTATTTTAGTGTTCTGTTCGAAGCTGCCCAGAGTGGCTGGGGAAACCCAGGCAGATGGGCGGTTTAGAAATAATAAATTATTATTATTATTATTATTATTATTATTATTATTATTGGAAATAGCATGTGCGCACGTGTATGGGCATGCGCTACCCCACCCTCCGGCCCACCGTGCGATTGGCGCTGGAGACACCGGCCAGAGGCGTGGTATGTTTGTTGACCCCTGCCCTGGAACTTCCCCTTCCTGTCTCCTTCAACTACTTCCCAACCCCATTTAAGAACATAAGAGGAGCCTGCTGGATCAGGCCCACCTAGTCCAGCATCCTGTTCTCGCAGGGGCCAACCAGATGCTTGTGGGAAACCAGCAAGCAGGATTCGAACACAAGAGCATTCCTGCGTTGCAAGGGGTTGGACCGGATGGGGTCCCTTCCAACTCTGCAATTCTGTGGTTTTACGATTCCCGTCCTGTGGTCTCCAGCAACTGGTGTTCAGAAGCGTTGCTGCCTTCCCGCTGTGAAGGCAGAGCAAAGCTATGATGCCCAGCAGCCATTTCTGAAGCTTTTTCTGCACTCCTTTACGATATGATATGATACGATAATCTTTATTGTCATTGTCCCATACAGAACAACCAAACTGAAAAAAATCTACATCAGACATTCAAAAACCAACAAGCCTGCTATCCCAGCTATCCCAGCTTGGTTAACCCCCTAAAAACTCTGATACCCCATAATTAAATACAATATACTCGCGGGTGGCGCTGTGGTCTAAACCACATAGCCTAGGACTTGCCGATCAGAAGGTTGGCGGTTCGAATCCCCGCAACAGGGTGAGCTCCCGTTGCTTGGTCCCAGCTCCTGCCAACCTAGCAGTTCAAAAGCACGTCAATGTGCAAGTAGATAAATAGGTACCGCTCCAGTGGGAAGGTAAACGGCGTTTCCATGCGCTGTTCTCTTTCGCCAGAAGCGGCTTAGTCATGCTGGCCACATGACCCGGAAGCTGTACGCCGGCTCCCTCGGCCAATAAAACGAGATGAACGCCACAACCCCAGACTCGTCCGCGACTGGACCTAATGGTCAGCGGTCCCTTTACCTTTACTCCCAAAGAGACTACCTTACACTGCATTTAAAACCAGAATTGCATTTCGGTAGAAACTGTTTCTCAGGTGGTTAGTCCTAGTCTTTATAACCCTGGACCTTCTTCCAGAAGGCAGAAGCTGAAAGAGATCATTTCCGGGGTGTGCACTATCCTGCGCTATCTCTGCCGCTTTCTTATGGCACCTGGCAGCATAGATTTGATCCAAGGTGGGAAGAGTGCACCCAATTATTCTCTCCGCAGTCTTTGCACCCCAATTTACACCTTCAACCCCTTGTCCACGCTTCCTCCTCACCCTCCTTTTCTGCAAACATCTCTGACCAGGCACTGTGTCTTTCTTTTGTAAGCCATTATATGGGCCTAAGTTGGCTCAAATTCTTTGTTAGGGAAAAAATATATCAGGAGAGGAGAGGGAAAGAGAGGCTAACAGATGGCCACCCATTGAGTTTTATGGATGAACAGGGACTTCACCCTTGACCTTCCTGGTGCTCTCCCAGTATTCTGATCGCTGTGTCACGAATTTCCCACAGCTTGCAGAGAAATAGCAGCGAGCCAACATCTTCTGGAAGAGACACGGCTCCAGGCTGTTGCCAAACAACAGAAAAACACAACGGCATCAGATAAGCTGCTTTATTACATGTAAACCGTTGGAAGGGTTCCTGGATCAGTTATATGGACATGTGAGCTGCAAGTGAGCATGACTCACGACGGTTGTTAAACAGCTGGGTGTTCCTTTGGGTGCAATTTGTCGGTGTTGGAAAAGAGATGCACACATTTGTCCAGCAAGCGTTCTGCATCGCTGTCACCTGTGGACTTCATAGCTGTCAACTTTCCCCATTTTTTAAAGGGAAATTCCCTTATTCCGAATAGGATTCCTCGCAAGAAAAGGGAAAAGTTGACAGCTGTAGTGGACTTGGGGGGGGGCATCCGAACTTAGATCAACCGTTCTCCGGGGGAAATGGAGGAATGGTTCCCACCTGCTTGGAAGCTGCTTGGTAACTCATAAATGAATTTCAGAGAACTCCAGGGGAAAGGATTGTGTTCAAGGCTAGGGGGGGAAGTTGTGGCTCAATGGTAGAGCAACTGCTTTGCATGCAGAAGGTCGCAGGTTCGATCCCTGGCAAAGAGGTGGTGATTCAGCATATGACAAAAAACAAGGAATAATAATAATAACAATAATAATAATTTATTATTTGTACCCCGCCCATCTGGCTGGGTTTCCCCAGCCACTCTGGGCGGCTTCCAACATAGATTAAAAATACATTCAAATGTCACACATTAAAAACTTCCCTGAACAGGGCTGCCTTCAGATGTTTTCTAAACTTTGGTAGTTATTTATCTCTTTGACATCTGGTGGGAGGGCGTTCCACAGGGCGGGTGCCACTACCGAGAAGGCCCCTGCCTGGTTCCCTGTAGCTTTGCTTCTCGCAATGAGGGAACCACCAGAAGGCCCTTGGCGCTGGACCTCAACGTCTGAGCAAAACGATGAGGGTGGAGACACCAGGCTCAGTATTGTGGGGAGGGAATTTCACAACTTAGGGGGCTGCTGCTGAGAATGCCCTTTTTCCTGGCACACCCAGACTTTTGAGGGTGGTGGAACTAGAAAGAAGACCCTCTCTGCCGATCTTGACCCCTGCAAGAGTTTGTAGGGAAGGAGACTGTCTTTCAGATATTTGGCCCCTAAATACTTGAGGTCACTCTGCTTATTGCTTTGGTGGAGAATGGGAAGACGTGTTTATGTGCGAGTTTGGTGTGGCTGGGATGTAGCCTACTGCACAACGGGAGGAATCATAGAATTGTAGAGTTGGAAGGGATCGCTACGAGTCATCTTGTTCAACCCCCTGCAATGCAGGAATCTCAACTAAAGCATCCATGACAGATGGCCATCCAACCTCTGCTTTGTTGTTGTTTAGTCGTTTAGTCATGTCCGACTCTTCGTGACCCCATGGACCAGAGCACGCCAGGCCCTCCTCTCTTCCACTGCCTCCCGCAGTTTGGTCAAACTCATGCTGGTAGCTTTGAGAACACTGTCCAACCATCTTGTCCTCTGTCGTCTCCTTCTGCCCTTCATCTTTTCTAACATCAGGGTCTTTTCCAGGGAGTCTTCTCTTCTCATGAGGTGGCCAAAGTACTGGAGCCTCAGCTTCAGGATCTGTCCTTCCAGTGAGCACTCAGGGCTGATTTCCTTCAGAATGGATCGGTTTGATCTTCTTGCAGTCCATGGGACTCTCAAGAGTCTCCTCCAGCACCATAATTCAAAAGCATCCATTCTTTGGCGATCAGCCTTCTTTATGGTCCAGCTCTCACTTCCCTACATCACTACCGGGAAAACCATAGCTTTAACTATACGGACCTTTGTTGGCAAGGTGATGTCTCTGCTTTTTAAGATGCTGTCTAGGTTTGTCATTGCTTTTCTCCCAAGAAGCAGGCGTCTTTTAATTTGCTTAAACCTCTGCTTAAAAACTTCAGATGCATGAGAATCCCCCACCTCTTGTGGGAGTCTGTTCCACAGTCAAACAGCTCTTACTGCCAGAAAGTTCTTCCTGAGATTTAGTTGGAATCTCTGTTCTGGTAACTTGAAGCCATGGGTTCAGGTCCTATCCTCTGGAGCCAGAGAAAACAAGCTTGCTCCATCTTCCATGTGACAACCCTTTAGATATGGCTATCGTATATCTTCTCAGTGTCCTCTTTTTCAGGCTAAACATACCCAGCTCCTTCAACCATTCCTCATCAGGCTTGGTTTTCAGACTCTTGATCATCTTGGTTGCCCTCCTCTGCACACCTTCCAGCTTGCCAATATCCTTCTTAAATTGCGGTGTCGAGTTCTCCAATGTGGTTTAACCAACCAAGTAATGTGTATAGCAGTATATATTTGGGTAAAGTGTGCAAAAAATGCACATGGTGCTGAAAATAAGATAAAGAAACATAAATATTAGGAGAATTATGCTTTGAAAAATGTGTGAATTAGGCAAAATTGCATACAAAATGCGTACTATATTAGAAGAAAATCATGCCAAATTGTTGAGGATTTTTTTTAAAAAAAAATGCAAACTGATGTGGAAACATGGGAGAAATGAACTGAAGCTTGGGAAAATGAGAAATCGAGAGAGACAGAAATTGGCGAAATTACCCAACTCTAGAGGAAAGAGAGAGAAATGTGGATGGCACTGTGGGTTAAACCACAGAGCCTAGGACTTGCCAATCAGGTCAGCGGTTCGAATCTCTGCGACAGGGTGAGCTCCCGTTGCTCGGTCCCAGCTCCTGCCAACCTAGCAGTTCAAAAGCACGTCAAAGTGCAAGTAGATAAATAGGTACTGCTCCAGCAGGAAGGTAAACGGCGTTTCTGTGCGCTGCTCTGGTTCGCCAGAAGCGGCTTAGTCCTGCTGGCCACATGACCCGGAAGCTGTACGCCGGCTCCCTCGGCCAATAATGCGAGATGAGCACCGCAACCCCATAGTCGGTCACGACTGGACCTAATGGTCAGGGGTCCCTTTACCTTTACCTTTAAGTTGCTTTTAGTTGCCTTGGGCAAGAAAAAGCAGCTAACAAATAATGATTTTTTTTTGGGTAAACCGCACTGAGTTGTTTTTTAAAAAACTATCACGTGGTATATAATTTTTATGAAATAAATAAACAGAATATTTCAATAATGGCTGTAAATTTTTTCACTTGGTTTTCAAGAGTGCAGTTTTGCTTTGTTTTTTTATTGCCAGTCATGGTTCCTGCCCCTGCCTCCCCGCCGCCCTTTTCAAACCCCAGGCCTGGTTCTCATTTTGCATGGGGAAATGGCTTGGCTGGCGGTTACCTCTGTTAAGTAAATGATTTCTTCCAGCCCAGATGATTGGCTGCCGCAGCATTTAGCAGAGCGTCCAACAGCTCTGCTGAGAATAATCCCCTCCCCCTCCCTCCTTCTTACTGTTGGAACAGCCCACATGAAAATGTTAACTTGCTCCAGCTCATGAACAAACATGTGCTCACAGTGGAACATTGTGCCATCAGCCAAAAGAGAAGGAAATTAATCCCCAAGCCAGTTGATGGCTCGAAAAGCGTCATTCGGTGAAGAACTCATCTGCCAAACATGTGGCAGTGATTTCATTCTGCTTCCGCAAATCTGGCCTTTCTCACAATTCTTTTAAAAATCACATCCATTGCCCACCTTTCTTCCAGGGAACTCACAGTGGCGAACATGGTTTTCCCCTTTCTTCATTTGATCTCCAGAACAGTCCTGCAAGGTAGGTTAGGCTGAGAGGGCCTTTTCGGTGGTGGCACCCGCCCTGTGGAACACCCTCCCATCAGATGTCAAAGAGAAAAACAACCACCAGACTTTTAGAAGACATCTGAAGGCAGCCCTGTTTAGGGAAACTTTTAATGTTTGATGCACTATTGTATTTTAATATTTCATTGGAAGCCGCCCAGAGTGTCTGGGGAAACCCAGCCAGATGGGCGGGGTATAAATTATTATTATTATTATTATTATTTGCCATCTTGTGTGCGCATTTTCAGAAGCCCTTGGCTGGAGCAGCCAGACTCCTAAAGGGAGACTCTGGAAGTTATGTTCCTGACTCCACAAGGCAGTTTTCGGTGATCAATAACGCATCTATTCAGAGCCCGTATCATTTTAATTCAACAGCCGTGTTTTGAGGGCCTATTGTCCCAACGAAAAACCGCCCGCTTCCCAGGTGACGTGCCTCATTACACATATTCACAAGTCCCCCGCAAAAACGAAAACACCGGCCACCGGCGTGGAAAACAGAAAATGTGTCCCCAAGCGTCAAGAGCCAAAATGGCCCAAGAACCAAGTCAGGTAGCATAGCATGACAATTAGTCCAGGGAACTTAGTACCAGAATCAGAAAGAGCCTGAGCTTTGATCGAGATAGCCAAGTATTTTTTTAAAAAAATGAAAATAAGCCACCAACAAGCGCCAGACTCTGGTCTATTGTTGGAATCAAAGTGACTTTCCGTTCAGATTCTTAACCCTTGACCAGAGCGATCAGCTGGTCAAGCGGCGAACAAGGGCTTGTGGGCCTCCCGGAAAGGTCAGTATAGGCCACCATCAATCACCCGAACTCTCCTAAAGGCTGCCTTACATGTCAATTGATGAAGTAATGACTATTTAAGGCACCATTTCTCTTTGAAGTCGGGCGAGACAGGCGAGGGCCAGGAAGCGATGGAAGGGCTTTGCAGGGCTTTGGCTAAATCCGGAATGCTTTGCTTTCTGAACACGTGGGGTGGGATCGGATGCTTCCCCCGTACAGCGTGCGAAATCCGCGCAGGAGACGCTCGGCCGAGGTGCGAGAGGCATCTTGCCTATGTGCCGACAACGCCCGCACCCTCGCAATGGGTGGGCGAGACTGATTTATCGAGCTGGACACTTGCCATGTCACCTACCTCTCCCTCTCATTGTCTCTCTCCTTTTCCGCTTCCAGGCTGTCCCTATTTTTGCGCAGAATTTGAACGTGCTCCTGCAAAGGCAAGTTGCATGATTAAAGTCTGTTCAGAGCTACTGCACAACAAACCTGCTCCTCTGACCAAAGGGTGGGGGTTTTTTTGGGTGGTAAGGAAGGTGGCGAGGAAATGTGCTGGAAAGCATGGAGGTTATTTATTTTGTCTATATGCCTCCTTTTTCTCTCTCAAAGGAGCTCCCCTTCCTTGTTTAACCCCCACAGCAACCCTGAGAGGTGGGTTGGGCTGAGAGATACAGCGGCTGACTCCCCAAGATCAAACCCAGTGAGCTTCATGGCTGAGCGGGAGATTTGAACCCGGGTCTCCCCAGTCCTGATCTGACACTCTAATCACTGCACCACACTTGATACAAGATCATCTCACCTCCCTGCAAAGGAGACAGAATGAATGATGAATGAATAGGTCAGCTACAAGCAGTCTCTTTCCTCTAAAAAGGGTGAAGGGACCCCTGACCATTAGGTCCAGTCGTGACCAACTCTGGACCTGTGGCGCTCATCTCACTTTATTGGCCGATGGAGCCGGCGTACAGCTTCCCGGGTCATGTGGCCAGCATGACTAAGCCGCTTCTGGCGAACCAGAGCAGCACACAGAAATGCCAATTACCTTCCCGCCACAGTGGTACCTATTTATGTACTTGCACTTGGACGTGCTTTCGAACTGCT